CAGGGGGGCACAGGGGGCATGGCCTGCAGCACAGTAGAGGGGGCACAGGGGGGCACAGGGGGCACGGCCTGCAGCACAGTAGAGGGGGCACAGGGGGGCACAGCCTGCAGCACAGTACGGGGGGCAGGAGGGATCATGTAGGGATGAGGGATAAGTGCCAGGGCAGGGAGGGCTGTGGGGCTGGGGAACGCAGAGGGAGGGAGGGAGGGATGGGGGATGTGGGAGGGAGAGTTGGGGGTGCAGTGGGGAGGGATGGGGGGCATGGCAAGGAAGGATGGGAGGCACAGGAGACACATGGTGTGGGCACTGGTACCCCATAGTGGAGAGGGAACATGGGAAGAGGTGTGAGGGATGGCAGGATCAGGGACATGTCTGTGAGGGGATGGGGATGGGTTGGGGACAGGGTACTGGATGGAGACAGGGGATGGGGACAGGGACAAGGTCCCAAACCTCTGGCAGGGGCTTGGTGCAGTGAGAGCAGTGGGAGGGCTGAGGGCACCCAGGGACCCCCCTCAGGGGCACACAGGCCCCAGAGGTGTCCCTGAGCCACCTCTCACCCCCAGGTGAGGAGAAACGGATCCGGGAATTCTACCAGTCCCGTGGCCTCGACCGGGTGACACAGCCCAGCGGTGACGGTGGGCCAGGGGGGCACGGGGGGGGGGGCACAGGGGGGCACAGAGGGCAGCCAGCCAAGGTGCTGGGGCCACAGGGGGCTGACTGTGCCCCCCGTGTCCCCAGACACGGTGGGGGGTGACCCCATGGGGCTCCCCTACAGCACCTTTGACCACTCACGTGCCCACTATTTCCGCTACGACGAGCACGTCTCTCTCTGCCTTGAGAAGCTGAGGTGAGTCCGGGGGGGCTGCAGCCTCTCGGCAGGGTGGGCAGGGGGCACTGGGCACGGCAGCAGCCCAGGCCTCCAGCCCTGAGACTGGACACGTGTCCCCTTCCCTTCCCCTTGCAGCTCCAGCAAGGACAAGAGCAAGGCTGTGCTGCAGGTGAGTGGGGGTCCCCACAGCCCCCACCCCTGACCCCCAGCCTTTGCCCCAGGGCTTGCCTGGGTCCCAGGGTGTGTGCGGGGTCCTGGCAAGTGCATGGGGTCCCCACAGCCCACTGCCCTGCTCTGTCCCTTGCAGCAGAAGTACGTGAGGTGCTCGGTGCGGGCGCAGATCCGGCACCTGCGGAGGGTCCTGTGCCACCGGCTGGGGCTGCCCCTGCAGCACGTGAGTGGGGTCCAGAGGGGTCAGACTCGGGGGGTGGTTCTGGCCTCAGGGGCATCCCGGCCCCCCTGACACAGCCCCCTGTGCAGGTGCAGATCCTGTTTGACAACGAGCCCCTCCCTGACCACATGACGATGAAGCAGCTCTGGCTCTCGCGCTGGTTCAGCAAGGTGGGCGTCGGGGGGACGGCAGCCCCCGGTTTGGAGGGGGGCTGGGTGACCCTCCTGGGGGGGCTCAGGGCAGTGCTGGATGAGGGGATTGAGGATGATTGATGTCAATGGCCACAGTGGTGACCCAGGGGGTCCTTGGCCCCTGCACGTGTCAGGGGATGGGGGAGTCCCTGAAGGGCTTGGCCATGTTCAGGGCACAGCCCTGGGGGGAGGGCCCCGCCCCAGGCAGGGGGTCCTGGGCCATGGTTTGGAGTCCTGGGCTGGGATTTGGGGGTCACTGTCCCAGGGGGATCCTGGATTGGAGTTTGGGGTCCCTGTCCCAGGGTGCAGAACCTGGGCTGGGGTTTGGCATCCCTGGGCCGGGGTTGGAGGTCCCTGCCCGGGGTCCCCCGGCCCTGACCCCCCCATCCCCACAGCCTGCGCCCCTCCTGCTGCACTACAGCATCAAGGACAAGAGGAGGTAGGGGCAGGGGTTGGGTGCTGCCCCCCCCAGTGCAGCCCTGCTCCTGCCCCCCATAACTTATACCACCCTTCGAGTTTATTTTTGGAATAAAACTGTGGAAAAACCCCTCCGGGTCGCTGGTCTGTCTGGAGGGGCTGGGCTGCGTTTGGGGTGGGAGCCTCTGGGGGGTCTGCTACAAGGGCCTCTGGGGGGCCCCCTCAGTACCAGCACCTCCAGGAGCAGGGGGGGCTGCATGGGGGAGGCAGTGCCCTCCAGGTGGGCTCAGCTGGGGGTGCTGAGCCATGGGCTGCAATATGGGGGTGCTGGGGGTGCACCGTGGGCAGTGGGGCTGTGATGGGGGCTGGAGGGTTGCAGCCCCCTCCCTCCCCATTCCCCTGCCGTGCCGGGGGGGTCTCACAGCCCCTCACCCCCCGAGCAGATCGATCCCTGTCACGGCTGCCTGGTGCGTGTCTGGCCCCCGCGGGCCCCCCGTCCTACATAAGGAGCCACAACAAAAAACTCCCCCCCTTTTTGCCTGGGGGGGTCCCCCCCCCCCCCCCCCCCGCCCCGCACGGCCCTAATTACCCCGGGACAATATTCCGCCATCTGGATCTGCAGCCACGGGCACAGCTGCGGGTGTGGGGGTCCCGGGGATGGGACCCGCGGTTACGAGGCCCGGTGCTGCGGGAGGAACGGCTGCCGGATCCCGGTGATCCCGGTGATCCCGGTGCTCCCGGGAGCGCAGATCTGGAGTGGCCCTGGCCGCGGCACACGGCTCGGGGCCGGGTGATGGGCACCCTCGGGGGGCGGCCCCCGCTCCTTCCCCCCGGCGCGGTGGTGACAGTACCGGGCCGTGCCGGGCGGCTGTCGGGGGTCACTCCCCGCCCTCGCCCCCCCGAGCCGGGCATCCCGTCCTGGGGTGGGACCCACCGGCCTCGGTGCTCGTGGCATCGGGTGCCTGTGCCCACCCCCGGGGGACGCGCCGTGGCCCGTCCCTCACCCCCGGCCCCGCGCCGGGATCCTCGCCCGGGACCCCCGCCCCGCCGCCGCTGCCGCGGGATCCGGTTACGGCCCGGCCCGGCCCAGCTGTCGGCCATCGCTCAGCGGGCGGGGGCGGCCGGGAACCCCTGCCCAAAGCCCCGCAAGGACGTGCGGGACGGGGGTCCCCAATGAGGCTGGAGGGGCGGGGGAGCAGAACGGGGGTCTCAGTGAGGGTGGGGGGCTTGGAATGTGGGGTGGGTGTCCCAAACTGGGCTGGAAGGGTGGAGGAGTAGGATGGGGGTCCTAGATGGAACCATAGGGACTGGGGTGCAAGACTAGGTTTGCCAACTGAGGCTGGAGGAGGAGGGGTGCAGGATGGGGGTGCGGGCTGGGGGTCTGAACCAAGGCTGGCTGTGGGGGAGTGGACGGGTGGGTGGACGCAGGGATGGTGAATGGAGGGATGGATGGACGGACAGACGGATGCCGGGGGTGGTGAGGCGGGGGCTGTGCTCATGTCTGTCAGCAGTGGCTCTGGCAGCCAGTTACAGACGGCAGAGCAGGAAGCCCCCCCGGAGCCCCCCACGCCCCCCCAGCCCTGCACCCCCTCCCTTATCAGCGCCGGCCCTGGAGGAGCCTAATTCAAACCAACTGCGGGGCTGACGTTGGTAAATGAGCCCCCCGCCCGCGGCCTGGCCCCAGCGCCTATGGGGGCTGCCCTAGAGAGTGGGGGAGATGAGAGCTGGGGGTCCAGTGGGGCAGGGGCAGGTGCTGGGAGGGGGTCCTGCACCCCCGAGCTGCAGTCAGGCCAAAGGCCCTTTGATGTGCCCCTGCCCCGTCATGCTCCAAGGGGGCTAATGGCCCCCGGCTCCAGCCCGGCAGGGAGGGAAACCTGAGCCCCCCGTCGCCCTGTCCTTAACCTGGGGGGGCAGTGGGGGGTCCTCAGCTCTGCCTGGCAGGACCCGGGCATGGTATGGACCCCCATGACCGGGTGACAGGACCCCCAGGAGCTCCTCGGCCATGTGGGACCCCCAAGGCTCCCACTGGGGATGGTCCCAGGCTGGAGGGTCCCAGTATCTGGATAGGAGGATAGTGACATGGGGATGCTCTGGCCATGCCAAGGGGGCTAGAGGTGCAGTACTGGGGGGGGCTCAGCAGGAGGGACCCCTCAGAGGGACCTCTAAGCCCCCTGACCCCCACAGCCCTGCAGCTGTTGCGCCCTAGGGCCACTGCAGAGTGCCAAGGTGGGGCGCAATGGGGGCACAACACAGCCCAGGGGGGACACAGCATCAGCCCTCCCTCCTATGCCAACATCCCCAAGCACTACCCCCTCCTGCCCCACAACCTCCACCCCTGCCCCTCACTGGGGACTGTCCCTGGTCCCCTCTAAAGCCCCACATAACCCCGCCCCATGGGCACTCACTCTGGGAGTTCCACTCACCCCCAGCCCCTGCCCTGTCCTGGGGATGGGCATGGGGACTGGACCCCAGGCTGCTGAACCCCCCCAGCTGCACTGTCACCACCACACTCCAGTGGCACCAGCTCCAAACGACCCTGACAGAGACAGACGAGCAGCCGGCACCTTCACACCCCATTGCCAGCTGAGGGGCAAAGCCCGGGGTCCTGGGGGGCACTGGGATGGTGGGATGGGCTGGGTGAACACTGCAGGGACATGTTACACGGTATTGCCCCACACCCCAACCTCCTCCTGCCCTACTGCCCACCCCAAGGTACCCACCGAGTCTGTGGTGGCACACAGCCTTCCCCGTGGTGCCCATCCCATCCCATCCCGTCCCTATCCCCATCCCCAGTCCCGGTCCCATACCCACTCCATCCATTCCACCCCATGCCCAGCGGTGCGTGGCACAGGCACGCTGCTCCTGGCTGTCACGGCGGGAATGAGCTGGCGCGGGGACGTTCCCGTAACGAGGCGCCGGGATGAGGCTGATGAGAAAATCCAAACGCAATTTAATTCCTGTCACTGCCTGAGCGGCTCTAAATGACGCCGGGGGGTTCTGACGGGCCCACGCTGGGCCCCCCCGACCCGCCCGGCCCCCACCACGCTGTTCCCTCCTGACCCCCGCCGGCCTCCCCAGCCCCCCCTTCCTGCCCGCTTCCCGCGGATGTGGGCACCGGCGCTGGCACCGGGATGCCCGGCGGAGCGGGAAGGGGGGCGGGGGGGCACCTTCCTGCGGACGGAGGGGTCGTGGTGGAGCCTGGGAAAGTGCCGCCCCCGGGACCCCGACACCTCCCCAGCCACCCGGGGGACACCAGGGAGAGCTGGGAGCAACCCTGGCTGGCAATGGGGGCAGCTGTGGCACCCGGCCATGGTACCTGGCCCTGCTGCCAGCACCCACAGGCCCCCACACACCCGGACCCCAGCACTGGGCAGTGACAGGGTGGATGTCACCGGGCACACCCAGCCCCTCTTGGTGCAGGCACGTGGGGCAGCGGGGCTGAGGGAATGGGGCCGAGGGCATCCCCTCACCTCTCCTGGTTTATTTTGGCTGCTGGAGTTTCCCGCCTTTGTCCGGCGGCTGCAGCCCCCTGGAGCCCCCCCAGCTTCCTGTGTGTCAGCACGGGCAGGGGCATCCACTGTGGGACCACCACCCTGGCACATCCTGGCAGGATGGGAGAGCACAGAGGAGGCTCATGGGGTGTCAAGGGATGGGACATGGAATGAACATGGGATGCCTACATGAGGAACAGGTGGGCACGGGGGCGGGTGTGGGTGCTCTGGAGGTGGTTGCCAGGCTGGCGCAGGGACTACGGTTTGGGTGATGGTGCCACAGTGTGGGTATCATGGCATGGGTGCCACGGTGTCTGTGCCACGTTGTGAGTGTCAGTGTCCTGATGTGTGTCCCAGTGCCATGATGCGTGTCCTGGTGCCATGATGGGTGTGCCGGTGCCACAATGTGGGTGCTGGTGCTGCCGCAGGGGTCCCAGTGCCGGGTGGGTCCTGGTGCAGCAGAACTCGCTGTCCCGCCATTGTTCCACCCTTTGAAGTCGGCGCTTCCTGGTGGGTTTGTCCCAGCCCGTCTGTGGTGGCGCTTCCCGGCCATAAATCACCCGGCACAGGGGCTCAGCGGCCACGTGCCCGCGGCCATGGCTCAGTGAGGGGCTCCTGCCGAGCCCACCTTCACCTGGGACTTGCCAGGGCAGGGTAAGGACCCACAGGAGCCCCGTGGTGCTGCTGGGATGAACGTCACTGGTGACCCCTTCCCCACAACCCCCCAGTCCCCACTGACTCCCAGACACGGATAATCCTGGGGTCAGGATTTGGGGCAAATCACGGCAAGATTGGAAGTGCCAATGTACCAGGGCTCAGGAGGATCCCCCCGCTCCCTCCCGGCTGCCCCCCTTGCTCTGAGTCTTCCGCCCGGGCCCAGTGCCGGCGGCGCGGCCGTTCCCTCCGCTATTCCCAGCGTTTCCTGGGGTTTATTGTCTTCCCCTCCCTGTCCCACCTTCCTTGCAGGAAGCCCTCGATCCCGCGGGGCCGGCGGCTCCATTACCAGCAGGACTCCAGGCTCCCGGCCCCCTCTCCGTGGTCAGGGGTACGGCTGGCTCATTCCCGCTCCTGGAAGCGATGCCCACCCCGTGGGATGGGGAGCTGGGACCCTGTCCCGACCCCCTAACCCTGCTCAGACCCTGACATTGGGCTCCCAGCTGCCCCAAGCTGAGCCCCCCCCCCGCCACAGCTGTGCCAGCGTCGATGCCGGGCTGCCACAGTGGAGCAGAGGCTGAGGGTATCCCCAGAGCCCCTCTCCAGCCTGGGATTGTCCCACAGCCCCCCTCCAGCCGGGAGGCCTCGTTCTGCCACGGCTGCCACCCGCCCGGTCCCCCGATCCCTAAATCAATTGGGTTGGTTATTGCAGCGCCGCGTCTCCGTCTGCCGGATAATTGCTTGTGATCCCGGCAGGGAGGGGACGTGCCGCCATCATCCTGCGGCTCCGCCAGCGGCACCGGGCACCCGCTGCGGGGCAGGGGCTCAGGGGGTAGGGGAGGGCTCGGCATGACAAGGGGGTGCTCCTGGAGGGGTGAACTGGGGAGTTCCATCCCCATCCCATCCCCATCTCCATCTCCGTTCCTGTACCTATCCCATCTCCGCTCCCATCCACCCCCATTCCCATCCTATCCTCATCCATCCCCC